TATGGAAATAATTGCTCAAACATAGAATGTCATATCTCGTTCAAATCGTCTTTAAATTTCTGAAAAAATTGGATTCACACCTAAAAATATAAGATTTTTGCAATTTTTCACAAAAATCTAAATTTGAACCTATACTATATACCCCAGAAGAAGTTCCCCCTCAATGGGTATCAAAAACGAAGCCCAACTGTCAATGCCGCTGTCTCGCGCCCTCTTCCTTTTCTCGTTCTTCTTGTGGCCTATTTAAAAATTCAAAAGGCATAGAGCCAGCTCCACATGCCAAAAAAAAAAAAAAAAAAAAATACAAACGCATCCTAGCTGTGTTTTTTAACCAGTGAGTGGGAGGGTCCTTGTTTTTAAGGGGTAGTTTAGGGGGTAGCATCATCGACGACCACTTGAGGCGGCTGCTCCAGTTTCCTGTCGCCAGCGCTCACAAAAGTATGCAACATGTCTGAGCGACAAACAAAAAAAGAAAAAAAAATCTTCGAAGGAGGAGGAACATCAGAGCAAAAAAAAACAGAGAGATAGAGATAAAAAGGAGCAGAAACATAACGGGGAAATATTATAACGAGTGCAAATAAAACACAGGGATGTCGAGGATGTCTGCAATCGTTTGGTGGCACGCATGCATGCCTAAAGGAAATGCCATCAAATATGCCAAACATGTTTGCGGCCAAAACGAGTGGGTGGATGGCAAGAGAAGCGCAGAGTCATTGTGGTGGGTGGGCAGTGGGCGTTGTGCGGATAGCGGTTGGCGGTTGGCGGTTTCCTGGCGCCCTTTAATGTTTATTGTGCAAATAAATTCGGCCTTGAATTGCCAGAAACAACGGCAGTTGTACAGTGCTTACACGCTAATCGCGCAAAACAGTTGGTTTTGTGTTACAGTGAAGTTTCTTTAACATAGAAATATTAAATATTTTGTACAGGGAAGTGCCTAAATGGGCTACTTTTCTTCATTTTGATTGATAAAAAGCTGTAGCTCTTTGAGTTTCACTAATCTAAAGCAACTTTTCAGGCAGTTTCAAATGCATCTCACCTATAAACCCCAATCCCAAGGTCTTATTATCGAAAAAAGGGTTCCACTTTCCCTACAACCACACGCCATGCCATTAGCAAACACACCCCCTCGCGAATTCCCTTTGATCTCATATATTTTTTTTTTGTTTCATTCGAGAGGGGCTTGTGTAAATTTAGGCTGCTCTCTCAATAACCAATAGATGCTATTTTTGGAACCTTTGGGTTCAGGTCGGCGTCACTTGAGCACGCGCCTCTGGCCAGAAGGTGAAGAGGTGGGCGATCTAAAACACAAAAAAAAAACAAGGTGGGTAAGGGGCGTGAAACAACCGAAGGCTGGACAATATTTGCGTAGAAGCGAGAGGTGGGGAGGGGGGAGGTAGCAGAGATGGCCACTATTTTGCAGCCATAATTCAGAAAACTAACTTTTGCTGGGAGAAAATGCGGGGATTACATAAATCAACATTTTCTGCTGGCCGAAAAAGCGCCAGAAACTTTCAAGCAAACAAATATTAATTTTAACTTTTACGCGACCGAAGCAATAAAAACAAAAAACAAACAACAACAAAAAAGTGAAGGGAATAAAAATGAAGACTTAAAGCATTAAATGGGTTGGGTGGTATATATGTATATGTATGTGTGAAAGTCTCGTGTGTATGTGTTTGTTTGTTAATTTGCCCATTTTAATGTGCAATTTTTAATTGTTTTTCAACAATATTTTCTGGCCAGGCGCAATGAATTAATTGCTCGAGAAGTGGGCGCGGCCAGTGTCCAGTAGCTGCCACGCCCCTACCATCATCGTCCTATCTCTCTTTCCGGTCCTCTCTTTCTGTGGCACTTTTTTCCCCCAAGAGCCTCGCGATAATTCTTAACCGCTTGTTTATTTATGCGGCGCCGGAAAAGCAACACACATACACCAGGGAAAATCAAGGGGAAATGCGGGAAAAGGGGGCTGGCTGTTGGGACTCAAAGAGGTAGAAAGATAATGTGTGTCCATGTGTGTGTGTGTGTGTGAGAGAAAGCTTGCGCCTTTATTTATGCAGCATGCATTTAAAATAAAATAAATATAAATTAAGCATAGCCAGAGAGTCCCAAAGGAAATGCCCTTCACAGACAGCCGGGCATCAAAAATATGGTAAATGGCTGTCAGAACATTAAATGTTACTTCGATATATGATATAATAAATATCAGCATTTAAAAATAATTGGCTATAAGTATAGGCAAAATGCAGAATCCAGAATGCAGTCTACGAACCGATTAACAAATTAAATGCAAAAACCATCAAGGATAAATGGCTATTTGAACTATCGATGCGCTTTCGCTATCATTAAGCCAAAATGAACACACATTTTTCATGTTCAATAAAAAAGAGAAAATAAAGAAAAAATAAAGAAAAAAAAACATCAATAAACTAGTAAATCCATTAATCGCTATCAACACACTGAATTTCTTATTACAAAAATGGAACCCAACAATGAATTAACAACGAAAAAACAAAAGCCACTTTAAATAAGTAATGCTAATGCATTATTATTGCCGGCTTAAAAAACTGAAATCATTTTCAATTTACAAATTGAAATAAATAAAAAAGCAAAATACTAATGCACAGGCAGGCCAAACTAAATAGTTAATTCATTTACTAAAAATAAAAAAAACCGCTAAATGAAATGATTAGAAAACGTAATAGGTTTTTTCTATTGATTTGTTAATCTATTTTTTGCCCCTGCCGGTCGGTGATTAGCAATTTTCGTTAATTATTTTAATGACAACTTGCAGTTGGGGAAAGGCAAAGGCATGGGAGAGAAAAGAGCATTCGGCAGTTTCATTCCATCTTGGTGGGAGTTTTCCCACCCACCTTCAGCTTTTCATTATTATTCACATCTCTTCGTTTTTTTGTTTTGTTGTATTTTTGTGCTGGGCTTTTCTTTGTTTTTGTTGCCAGGATAGTTGGTGGCGCCGTTTTGTTGTTGCCTTGCATTAATTGCAATGCAAAAAGGCAACGTCGCATAAATTTCTCATATTTAATTTCGCCTGAGCTGCAGATGGAGCCAGAGACACAGGGGCGTTGGTTGGGGTATAAAAAAAAAAAAAAAAAAAAAAAAAGAGGAGAAGCCGGGGGGCAGTTTAATGCACTCTGTTGCATGCACCATGCACCCCACGTCGCTGTCCCTCTCTTTGCACCCACGTTCCCTGAGCGGATTCGTTTACATTAAATTATTTATGCACTCGACTGTGTGGAGCACTTGCGGCTTGACAAAAAGGAGAAAGGAGAAGGGGTAGGTTACACACTGATCACAGCTGCCACACTGACGGGGACTCCCTTTTTTTGCTGCGCCACTTTAATCTTGACCACACACAGACAGGCGCACATAAAATTGGCCAACAAATGTGCAGACATTGGCCATTAAGCAGCGAGCACAACTTGAACTTGGCCAAAAGGTCTAAGCAGTTATCCTTGACTTTATGCCACCCCAAAAACTTGCCGCCCTGCCAAGTCAACTGAGACTGTCCAATAAAATGTCAAAGAAAACGGCCAGAAAGGCTTTTAATTGTAATGAGAATGAGAATGAGAACGAGAGCGAAAATGAAAATGTAAGACTAAGGCTAAGGCACAAAAACGTTGAGACTTCTTGGCCTTTTTGGCTAGTAGTCCTGCCAGAGTACTGCCTTGGAAGAGTCCCCAGCTTAGCTCCTCTATCCTCTACCCTCCATCCATATCCTATCCCCTAGACCTCGTAACAAAGGGTTTCATGAGCGTTTAATTGTCGGTAATTAGCTAGATGAACAATGGCCAACTTTTAGTCGCCATGGAGCAAGTTTCAAAGAGACAGGGCAAAAAGAGCAGCTGGCCTGGCCCAGCAGCAGCAAATGGGTAACTAGCTTATATAAGTGAAGGCTTTATAGAGTGCCTTTTGAGGCTAAAACAGATGCACTTTCCGGTTGGTTGGGGGCAAAGGAAAACACCATATAAGTTGATATTCTGTGACATTAAAAAACAGAGAAATATTTATTAAGAATTTTTAATTGTTACAAAATTGAACATAAACGGGGGGCATGTTGTTAAAATGTTAACAGCCTTCGCATAAAACTTACCAATAAGCATTCATGCAAAGCGAGAACAATCATTTTTAATAAGCTGGAGCGCAATGACAATATTAAATGAACTTTTATGTGTAAAACGCAGTGCGGCTAATGATAAATTTCAATGGAAAGTCAGTTCACATTTTTAATTGGGCTTCCGTTTTGTGACAAGTTTTTAACATCACTCAATTATTTTCACTTACCATTGGGCAAGTTGAGTTTGGAAAACCCAAACTCAAATTCAAATTAAATTTCAAAGTTTGACTGTGTGACATTTGTTGATAGACATTTTACATTTTGAATGCTATTGATAAGCTTTCATTACACAAATTTTCCACCGGAAAATGGTGCAAACATTTTTATTAAATTCTTAATGAAATAACTCGAATGTTAAGTGCGCTCCACTAATTTCCATTACATCTCTACAAAATTTCGATTGAATTTCACTTGGAATTTCGCCGGAATAATTTCATTTAATTGAGACACACGCACACACCCATGCCTAGGCACACACACACACACTCTCGTTGATTTTTGTGCATAATGAGCAGAGGCGAAAATTACAAAGGGGCCCAGCTGGTGGCACACGCTCCCGCCCCCGCCCTCTAGCCCCGCCCCTTTGTAAGCGTCCACAGCAAAGGCAATTAAAATTAATTTAAAATTTACTCGCCTGTGCAAATGAGTCACTCGGAAAAAGAGCAGATAAAATGAAAACAAAGACCGATGACCACCACAGTAGGAAAACGCAATATCAGATGAGTTTATCGAGGGTTTTCCTTTATAGCTATCAAAATAATGATCTTGGTATGATGTTACATAGACTTTGAAAATCCATTTCCTATTATGTTTTCTCTCTGTGTACAATCTCGCTAATTGCCTGCCTGTATCGTTATCGTTTTTGCAGAACTGAGCCAAGCCCAGTCTCCCATCCTGGAGATTTTCCCCAAACAGGAGGTCCAGCGCAAGCCGGTTGGCAAGCCCCTGATCCTCACCTGCAAACCCACAGTGCCCGAGACGTCCCTGGTTGCCGATCTGCAATGGAAGGATAACCGAAACAACACCATCCTGCCCAAGCCGTAAGTATTAACCCTAATGAGTCCTTCTGGTTATTGGTGACTTTTCTTATCAAATAAATTAAATGGAAATATATAATATATATATATGAAAAACAAAACACAAACACTGTTACACTTACCAATGAACAATACACCAACAACAACACTCACACTCTATATCGTATATCGAATTGTAGGAATTACGATCCACTGTATGATTCCAAGGGCAATAGAAAGAAAGAGTAAGTTAAGCAAGCGATCAGCTAAATACCACCAAAAAACCGATAAAAAAAAAACCAGTAATTGAGTAACAGCAACTGCAAGAGTAAACAGTAACCAGTAATTTAACTGCAACTGCAACAGTAATCAGTAAATATGCAACTGCAACCGAGCATCAGTAAATAGAAAACTCAGACTGACTAAACAGTTAAGTTAATCGATATTCGATTAACAATCGATTTTATTGGCTTCTGGACGACTTTCTCTTTCAAAAGTTCCTTATAAATGTTGGACAGACCTTTGACAAACTTTTCCCTGACTTTAACAGGCTGCTTCGATTGACTTTAATCGTCGATTAAAAAATATACAATTGGCAAAAAGTTATTGTAACTGCAACATTCGATAGTTTCTGGTACAAAATCGACTGCGACTGAGACACAAAAGTTCTAGACTTTCGTAGCTTTGCCTCTGCCCCGCCCACTTCTCCTTTTTTTGTGGTTGTTTTTTTGGCATGATTAATTGTTTGATTTGTTCTTGTTTGTTGTGTTAACTCATCTCGATGCATTTTGCCCAGGCCCAGTTTTGCAAGGGACCTAACCTAAGAGTAGCATTTGGCATTTGACATTTCCCATTCGAAAACTGACCTAAAAAGCACTCACACACACACACACACACACCCATACACACACATACAAACACACCCATTTTCCTCATGCAACATCCCTTTTAGTTGTTGTACTAACACGCCTTCATCTTGGCCCATAAGTTGGATTTTCTTTTGAGAAATAGATTCAAGAACGATTTAAAATCGATTTTATTATCGATAGATGAGAATGCCATCCATTTTTAATCTGTTAATCTAACTTAACTCGATGTTTAAATGTAAACTAATCAGAAAATGCATTCCATAAGTAAAAAGAAAATTAGTTCTTACTTTCGAGAATCATCAACAACCGAAGACAGCTGAAAGTAATTACATTTTTTTTTTCAAGAACTGTCAAACTTCATACAGCTTACGCATAGCCAGTTACAATTCACCAGCTTGTTGATCCATAAAAAAAGAGTAAAATAAATTAAAAACGTATTTCATGAGCAGGTAAATTGAAAGCTAAGAAACTTTTTCGTACACAAAATGGAATTAAACAAAAGTTTTCCTCGGCGAAATCAAGTGAAAATCCTTCCCTTGACAACAGCAAAAAAAAAAAAAGAAAGGACGAAATTGCAATAAAGGAAAATGCTGTGCAGAAAGGCAGGCGTGTGCAAGGGAATGTGAAAGGCAAATGCGAATGGGAATTCTTAGGTCAAATATTCAGATCGAAATCTCAGCTCCCAGTTTGTCTTTCTCAATGTGTTTGTATTTGTGTTTAGGTGTATAGGTGTATAGGTGTGTTTGCGTGTGAAAAGCGAAATCGTGTTAATTAATTTGCCTGCAGACGGACCCCGGAGTGGGAAATCTAGAGAAATCCATGGGTAAATACAAGAAAAAGGGCTGGTTGTGTGTGCCCCTAGAGAGTGTTTCACACCTGACCCCCCCCCCTCAGCAGCCCGTTTAACCCGTGCAAGGGTTTAGGGGGGGAGCCTTTGCCGGACGAGACATTTTCCACCCAACTCATTGCGTGCCAATTAACCCCGTTTCCCTCTTCAAACTAAGGCGAGTGGAAATTTGTGTTTTCAGCTTGGGTTCAGTTTTATTTTTTGGCTTTTATATTTTCGAGGCAGGCGATTATAATAAATATTAAGGTTTTTGAAAACATTATCAGGATGATATTTATGAATGTTATGGATAGTCCTCTGTAATATTTATTCTTTATATTTTTATGTAATTTTTTTCGTTTATTATTTTCCGTCATTTATCATTTCTCCTTTGGGCATGCAAAGTCAGTTTTAATTATGATTGCGGCAACCCTGGCTGGGCGGCGGGCTTTTCAATTGCGTTCACGCAAAACTGCAATGCAATTTTTCATTTCAAACGATGATGCTGCTGGGGCAACTCTGGGTTAGTGGACAATCCCCCTTCTGTCCGCCTCTCCAACAGTTTCCTGGCCTGCGCCTACTCTGCCTTCTGCTGATTGTTTTGTGTTGGTTTGGTTTGGTTTCACTGTGCTTCCTTCCCCACCCTGCCCAAATCCTTCTCCTCTGCGGGCATTCTGTTGTTGTTCTTGGCCGGTTTAGCTTTCTTTTTTTTTTTTTTAGCTGACCACGCCCACGTTCCCGCCCAGCACTGTTCAACCTCTGCGCCCTCAATACGCATGCAATGCATTGCATACTTGCAGGCGCGAAATGTAATTAAGCTGCCAAAAACCAACCGACAAGCAGGCCCACTTTTTGCCACCCTTCCGCAAAAAGGGAAGAGAAGGAATGGTAGGATCCATGGTTCCGTTTATACTCGGGGCCAAGTTAATTAAAACGATTAAGTTCGGCATAGTTCTGCGGCCGGGCATTGCTCGCATTTTTGGGCACGGCTTTTGGCGGGGGTTTGGCTTTCCAATTTTCCCTTTTTCACAACATTTTTTTTTTTTTTTTTTTGCTTTTTTGTGATTTTTGCCCAGTGGTCCTGCCAGCGGTCAGCATCTTTTCTACTGTACAGCCCCCAGGGGGTGTTGACGGGGGGGTTAAGGGATTGCAGGCATAATTCCTGGTAGGTGGGTAGGCAATATGATGCCCAGTGAAAGTATCTCGTAGTCAGTTTTTGTGCGCTCATTAAGTTGATGGATGGTGAAACTTTAAATTGTTACCTCTGGTCCGAGATCAGATAGGTTCCTATTTCGAGATGAAGTTTGCCAAAGCCTCTTTAAGCCTCAAAAAAACGTATATTAAGAGGCATATTGGAGTGTCAAAGAAATTCAATAAGAAGAAAGTGCATCAAAACATGGCTATTGTCAATTTTATGGACTGCAATTGAAATGGAATGCGGGAAAAAACGGCAGTGATCAATATTGCAGGATTGCACATTGTGCTGCTGTAAACTAACTAGACAAAGAGAAATGACTTCGGGACCTGTCTAAACAGTCTTAAGGGGGGAGGGGGGGAAAGCCAATGGGGAAAACACCCATGCTTTTTCGCCATTTCCCCGCGACTTTCATTGCGTATTCAATAACAGAGAAAATGGCAATAACAACAGCAAAGCCAAACGACATCTTTATTCGCATCTGAAGAGATGGGAAGGGAGGGTTGGCCAAGAAGAAATGCAATAAAAAACCGTAGAAATTGCTATATGCTGTATGGCCCCGAGTCCCCAAGGCGCCAAGAGAGTCTCCTCCCGAGAGACAATCAACAAAAAAATAAAGAAAAACCGAACAAAAATTTGATTTTTACGTATGCGTAACGGTTTGTGCTGCTCATCCCTATTCTATCCTATTCTCTTTTTCTTCTTTTTGTTTTTTTGGTTTTTTTCTTTGCATTTTCTATGCTTTTTATTTTTGGTTTTCCTATGTGCCCGGTGCTTGGCGCAATATTAAAAATCCAACGCAAATATGCAGCGAAATTTTTGCACAATGTCTTCGGCGCCCCGCTCTTTCGCTCCACGCCCCGAAAACATTTTCCATTTTCCACCCACTGCTGCTGCGGTTTACCCTGCGAGGCGTCGTATTTTTTTCTGCGTCAACAACTTTTGTTAGCATAATTTTGGGCGCAGCAATGACGGCTTGCCATGCAGACAATCCAGGGCAAGTGAATAGGATAGGGAATGGTTTTTGAGGTTTCTATTTTGGGGGAAATTTATTTCTTAAAAAGTCTTTCAAAAAAGAAAGTTAGAAAACTTGATACACCTTAATTTTATATCCCAAAAAGTAAGAAGAATAAAAACTGATATTCCTCTTGGCCCAGCAAGTCCTTTATCCCAAATATCCTTATCCCTAAAAAGAACCATCTTTGGTACTATTTTCTTAACCCCTACTGTTCTTTTTGCAAACTGAAACCGTGCAACGTTCTTCGTTTTCTGGAATATTTTTTCTGTTTTTGCATTTTTGCCAACAATTGCGAATCGCAAATCGAACGCAGGTTGTGCCTGTCCTCGCACAAACAAGGAAATGCAAACAAACGCCCGCACACATGTGCAATATATAAAACCAATTACAGTCGTAAAAACAAAAGTTGCAAAAATAAAAGACGAGCGACTGTCAAAAATTGAAATCCACAGCCGACCAGAGAAAAAAAAAATGCGAAGAAGAGCAGAGGCTTTCATTGACTTTTGCCGCTTTTTCAAATATTGCAATTTTCCCTAGCAAAAAAAAAAAAGTGGAAAAAATGCATCTTCTTCTTTTTTTTTTTTGCATTATTTTTCTCTTTGTGTAGCTTTGTCTTTGTGTTTGTTGTTTTTGGTTTCGCTTCGCAAAGTCGTAATAATAATAATAACCGCCTCTATGCATATTTAGTTTCGGCGCCATGAAGGAAACTTTTTTAATTAATTAGTACGTGAGTCGCACAATGGCCAGCAGTTGGAAAATTGTAGTAGTTTTTCGGGCAATAACTCTCCCCAACGAACTATTCAAGGGGAAACGACGAGAAAGAAAGAGAAGTACCACAACAATTTGTTTGCCTTATGCGATTTACTTTTCCTAATTCGTAAATAACACAAAAGAAGAAAACCGAAAGGCAGCAGCAGTCACGGAAAACTGCAAAAAACATACAAAAGTGCAAAAGGAAAGAAGGCAAAATGCGAGGGAAATCTAATTTGATTTAAGGTTTAATTAGCATATCGGGCTAGCACGCACACAGAGAGCCATTAGGTAATTTATTTGGTAATTATTTTTAGTTGGCTCTACGGAATGGTTTCAAGGCAATTATGATGATCAACTGTTTAATAATTATTATATAATTTTTGTATAGACGTGATAAATGGTTTAGAAATGCATTCTATTTCGATTTCAATAGACATTAAAGTATAAAATAACTAGAAAACATAAACTTAAATCCTACTAAAAGATTTAGTAGTGTAATTTTACCATTTTATTGAATCAATTATGTAGAAAATACCAAATATTTCTAGTCAAAGAAGATTTTAACTTCGATTTGGCCGAACAACGTGATGGCTCTTATCGCATTTACATTGAAGGAAAAGCAGCTCTTTCTTGCTCCCTTCTAAGGGGGCGGAAAATAGGTACCGCACTTGCTGTTGAAGCCAAAGAAATTTTCACATTTCCCATTCACAAGTTGCCGTGGTAAAATTTGCTGAAAATGCGAAATGTATATGTATGTGACTTGTTTTTTTTTTTTTTTGGTAAACGAAAAAGCCATGAGGAAAAATGCGTAACACATTTTTGGTAAGGCATGCAAATGAGCAGAAGAAAGGCAGGGAAAATTGTACTAACAGCTACAGCAATTGCTATAAGCATAAGCATAAAAACACAATAATAATAATAATAATAATAATAATAATAATAATAATAATTATACCGAAAACATACTCCCGTGTACTACTACTGACATTCATACTCTTATACTCGTAATCGTACAATTGAAATGCATATTATTCCGTTTACTAATACACATACAAACTCGCTTTCATTTACCCGCCTTGCCACCGCTCCCGGAACTTCCCTTCTCAAAAAAAAAAAAAAAAAAAAAAGGAATGGACGCAACCCGCAGCCGATGTACACGGAAACGTTGCCCGGCGAAAGTTTGGCCCTGATGATTACCTCGCTGTCGGTGGAAATGGACGGAAAGTACTACTGCACCGCCTCCTATGCAAATACCGAGATCCTCGAGAAGGGCGTCACAATTAAAACTTACGGTAAGTCCCCGCTACTCCTGTATGTATGTAAGGACAATCCAGTGGCGGCGAATCCGCAAATTGTTCGTTGGATAGGGGTTTTTATTTTGCATTTTCCGGCATACCCGGAGTAGGTCATATCCCGTTGCTTGGTAGCGTAAATGATCTAAGACTATGATATTTTCAAAAGCAAAAAAAGAACCCTCAGTACCCACCCAATGTTACAACATTCATATTAAAATGCTAATTTCGGCAAAGACTCCGCTTCTGACAATGATTATTATCATTGTTATTGCTTTTAGTAATGTTTGGTCTAAAATTTTGACTGAATAAAACGCAAAAATGTAAATTTGTTGATCATTTTTAATTCCAAAATAGAAAAGCTTAAAGTAAAATGTATTTTATAGTGCTTAATGTTGCCTCAATAAAACAGGTTTAGTTGGGCAATTTGGTCATTGATAAATTTTATATAATATATCCTTGGTCTAGAAATAGAAGACACATATTCTTTGTGGCTTAGCCAGGTCGCCGCTTATCCTTTTGTCCCGACCCAAGTACAGTTGTGTTCAGGGTGGCCGAAATTTGTCATTACATGTCCGAGCATGCTTGACTTGTTGTCGCCATCGATTAGGGACCTTCTCAACTCCCCCTCGTCTCGTTGTCCTTGTGATGCTGTGAGTAATCGCCATTTGAAAGCGGAAAAAGCTCGACGTGATTCCTCTGCTGCATGATTCATTTATCTTGTTAGCAATTTGTGTCCCCTGCACATTGCTCGAGTGCCAGAATGCCAGAGTGCCCAGAGAGTGCCTGGTCCAAAGTTACGGCAGTAAGAAATTGCAGTTGCTGGGATTTCATTACATGCGCAGCATTGCAAGCGAATCTAAAACAAAAATGGATGCGTCCAGTACAAAGCAATCGCTGTGGATCCCCCGCCGACCCTGCAGCCGCCCGCTTTCATCTTTCTCAAACAAAAATAAAAAAAAAAACTATAACAGCAACAATACAAAGCAGAACACGTTCCTCAATAAGCAGCTGCAAAATACAAAAAAAAAAAAAAAAAACTCACCTGCACACATTTTGCTGGCTCGTTGACTCTCTAGCAACTCTGGATACCCCTTCCCCTAAACCCTTTCTCCCACAACCCGCCCACTTTTCTGTAGTCGAGTGCACATAAGTGACGCTGCAGCTCAAAACTTTTACGAGATTGATTTTTCTAAGCAATTTAAAGTTCGTACTCATTGCCCACACGAAGCAAAAACCACTGGGCGCGCGCTAACAACTGGAACCTGCTAGTACTACAACTACTACGACTGCTGTCCCTATCTACTTTCGCCCGGTGTTCAGGCGCCGAAGGGTGGAGTTTGGTTAAGGTAAAGAAATAGTGAGCCAACAATCCTCGTGCTCGTGATATGTGAGAAATTCTGGACTGTTGCAGGAATAGCACTGAGCTACACGGAAAGAAAACAATTCTTAGTTGGCAGATAAGTTAGAAATGCTTTAATTTTAAAGTAAAAGAAGAATCTCTAGAAGATTTGTTTTTAAAGGTTACCAAAACCGATAATTTGCTTGTTTTTGCTTAACTTAAGGATCTATAAATTTGACATATTCCTGCAAAGCTAAAAGCTGTTGGGAATTATAGAGCTGTTATCCATAATGAGTTTTTGATCGAAACCCCATACTTTTTTCTAACTGTGCCCAGCGACGTCCTTTCATTGCGTTAGAGAGTGAGCAAACCGTATTGAGAGGCCGTCCAGGCTGGTACGATTGAAATGAAATCAAATATTTTGCCGGGCAACAATTTGTGCCCGGAGTGATATCGGGCACCGAGAGAGAGAGAGAGTAAGAGATAGCTCCCAGTGTATGTATAGTGTATGGAAGCAATACAAGGACTCCCGGGTACTTCAGTTTGGGATCGATGTCAGGCTAACTGTTTGACTTGGAATGACTGCGCCGGAATGAAATCTCCTTTTCTGCTAACTAGAGAATGACAGGGGCCAGGTAAATACGCGTTTTGCTGCAGCGAAGTCTGCTGCTGGTCCATGTAATTTGCACACAATCGGTGTTGACTAAATGCCAGGAGACGACATACTCGGTGTGTTGGTCAGCGTGAGTGTTGCCAAATGCCAAACCATACGGACGTGTAACTTTAAGAGCTGCGCTCCACTCCAACTCAGTGGTCAGAATGTTCCCGTTAAGCTTGTTTAAGCCCATACAATGTTTGAGCGAGTTAGAAACCAGGTTGACCAGCATTCAAATAGAAAGCCTAACAGCAGTTAGTTATCAACACCAACAAGGAGCAACTTAAGGATTTCGGGCGAAGGATGTGGCCAAGTTACGACTGTGTGTGTGTGTGAGTTTAGGAGTGTGTGGAAAGGGGGTTTGGTGTCTATAGAAGTAACTGGCATTGTGTTGACAACTCACAAGTTGCATTTAGTTAAGCAAATAAGCAGACACACTGCGACAGAGACAGCCAGAGAAGAGCTGAAGGCAAATTGCAAGATTTACTTTTCCTGCACTGAGAGAAAAAGAATGAGGAATATCAATACTAGCTGTTAAAAATTGAAGATACTTTTTAGGAAGACGTATACAAACATAAATAGATTGTAGATTCCTATAATCCATTTAGTTTTATATACCTTCTTTAAGTTATAAATACTAATCTAAGTGTAGGAAAACAAAGCTCACACGAGCTGTGGAATTCGAAAAGGAGGTATGAAAGGGGGGGGAAGTCGTACGGGTATGGCATATTTACATACCGTTGTTTGTGCCAGTCACAGCTTAATATTTCAATATTTATGCTTTTAATAAATGCATATGCTCAAAACAAACTTCCGCCAGAAAAGCAACAGCAGCAACAGAAGCAAACTGCAACGGCGGTAGTTTCAGCTGCAGAATAGAATCCTACTTCCGCTTTAAGTTATCTCTGGCAATTTGTTATTTGCAGCTCTTGCAATTAAAGCCATTAAAGCGCATTAGCTCAAAGAACGAAAGCAGTGCATTAATTTAATATATATATATATATTCCTATATATACATAAATACTCCAACTCAATCTGTGGTAGCCGATAATAGTCGACATCCTTTGCATTGTTGGCCATGTAATTGCCACTAATAATGTTGATTGGAGGCATTAGAGAGTTTGCAGTTGATAAATATACATGTATATATACTCGTATATATATATATACTTCGATTTGTCTGCCCAATTAGTTTGTTCCGGTTTTCGTTGGCATTGCAAACTTTGTTGTACATTGTCTGTAAGTTGAGGATTTTCTTAAACGGAATTACTCGTTTGACTGTCGAATAGTTTGGAAACAAATAAGGATTTATAGCATACTTTTCAGCTCTAATGCAGGCAGGCAGGCAGGCTCAAGCCAGCCAAAATGATCAATTTGCATTTATATTAATTGAGATTTGTGTGTCAACCTTTTTGAGCTTTGCTTGCCAATTAAAATCTTTGAAATATTTGCATTCCAGGAATTTAATTAGTTTTTGAGCTTTCTGCTTGTTTTGATGTTACTTCAAATTTAAGGCTACTTCTGAGGAAATCTATCATTAATCTTAAAAATCAGTACCCTTAAGTATTTAATTTAACCGCTTAAATGGACGGAATCTGTTAGATTTTATTATCACTCTGCGGAATTTGTGGTAATTTGAACCCATTGCGCCAGTCCAGGCCCCAAATCAAATTGCACTTCCCGCTGCCTGCCTCCTCCTTCCTTTATCCATTATTTTTTCCCTATTTTTATTTTTGATTTTTTTTTTTTTTAATAAGTTGTTGCAGCAACTTTTTCAATAAGTTGTGAGTCATGTTCGGTGCTCGCCGGCACCGGCAAAGAAAGCTCCGGATCCGGGCTCTTGGACTCCTGGACTCGTGGACTCCGGGACTCTGGCCTGTCCTTGTTCAAACTAATAATGAAATCGTAAACTAGTTCATCTTTTTTCCTCTACGTTTCTGGGCGTTTGGGTGGATATATATATATCGGGATATATATATATATATATTTGTGTGTGCTGGCTGCCCATCAGACGTCAGGAACGAACGCAGCTAGCGAAAAGTGTTTGAACAACAAAATCTCACACGCTACGACAATGCAGCCAAACTGAAAAGAGCAAGGTGGGGGTGGGATAGAAGGCAGGGGCAGGGAATATCCTGGAAAAATCCTGGGGAACGTAGAGAAATGACAGGAGCAGCAAGTTTTTATTTATTTTATATATGTTGTGTGGGTGCAAAAAAAAAAAAAAAAAAAAAACTGAAGGAGGAAACGAGCAAGAGCAAGAGCAAGAGCAAGGAACAAGGATGGCAGGGCGAAGAAGGATTCAGGACATCCAGACCCAGACACTGCCAATAAAAAACTGCAAATAGAAAATGTTTTTAACACAACTTTCCGTTATTTTGGCTTTGGCTTTGGCCGGACATCCCATCTCTATATATATATATATATATCGTATATATATATGTACTATATAGATATAAGGGAAGCTTGACAGCCGGCCGACAGACAGAGATGGCTTGTTATTACACTGATTTATAAATAAACTGTAAATATTTGAGCCACACACATGCTGGTATTGAAAGGCTGCCAATGATGGGTAACAGCTTTTTGGCCAAGATTGCTTTTTCAAATGCAAAATATGATGGCATATTTAAATGGGTTTTGGGATCCATTACCACCTGAATGCTGCCAAGAGAGATGGATTCGTCTTCTTCATCCATCTCCAAACAGGCGCAAAATCTAAACCAGATTCATGCATTCGTAGCCCTAAATCTGAGTGTAAAATATAAAATGAAAATCAACTGACAGCTAGATTTAATGTTTGGGATTGACATGGTATTAGAAAACTCTAAGCTGCCAGTTTCTGGACAGGCGAATATTTCGAAAAGTAATAAAATAAAAGGGAAACATTAATTAGAAAACAATGTGGACGTCACTTTAAATGAAGAGGATATCGCCTGCAGATGTAATGAAAAAGTTCCTAACCCTATTTAGTTTATAGTGCAGCTATGCAGCTGTGCAGCTGTGCACTTGACCATTCTTCTTTAGGCGGCTAACTTTAAGCCCCATTCTCTGCCTGCCCTTTGGCGCACAACTGGACTTGTAATTTACCTTTGGGATTTCCCCTTTTTGCATTGAGGCTCTTTGATTATTTTCCAGACTTAAACAACAACAACTCTTCCGCTTCACGCCTTGACTTCCCGGTTGGTAGCCACCCTGTGAGCTGAGCTTTGATTTGCCAACACCTAGTACTTTACAATCGCCCCCCCCTTCTGTGTGTCTTGCTTTTGTTGTTTTTTGCCGCCACTTGGCACAGTCCTGCTTGCAAGTATTTGATTTAGGAATTTCACTTTTGCAATGCACTACTTTACACTATTTTTTTTTCTTCTTTTCTTTTTTTTTACACATTTTCAATTTCTAAGTCATCTTGGCATTGGAGATTTATTGGCAGCCAGGCGCAGGGGGGAAGGGGTGTTCATCTGCCACCCCTTTTCCAGCTCGTTAGTGACCCTTAAAAAAAAAAAAAAAAACTAAGGATAGAAAGAAGGGATGTCTTGGACTTTGCGCTTGATGCTTGAATTGCTTTTATGTGCCCGACAGTTTGTTTAAAATTATATTACGTATACGCCACGTACTGCTGCGCTCGGATTGTCAACATGACCAGAAAAAATAGTGTCTGGAGCGCTTGGCTTGCATTTTTCTCTGGGGGCTCAGTTTCCTTTTTTTCTCTATTATTTTTTTTTCTCTTTGTATTTCGTTTTCTGTCCCATGTCGTCTGTGTGCTGTGTAAATGAATGCGAAGCAAAATCAAACAATTTGCGCACACCTAGCCGAAGAATTTGTTTGTCGCAGGACTTCAGGACTCCAAATCCTTGTCTTGCTGTCTGCAAAACAACAGCAACTGCACTGTGCTAAGAGGTGTCCTATTCAAGTCAAGAAAAACCCCGAACACAGGATACAACTTTATACTTTAACTTAATTAGTTTATGATTTATGTGTCAAAGTCTAGCTAACCATACTTTATCTATCCTCTTTGCAGTGGCCATTACCTGGACAAATGCCCCCGAGAATCAGTATCCCACTTTGGGCCAGGATTATGTGGTAATGTGCGAAGTTAAGGCCGATCCCAATCCAACAATTGACTGGCTACGCAACGGAGATCCGGTAATTACAATTTATCTCATTTCTATTCTATATAAAGTCAACTTACCTTAACCCTCATTTGCAGATCCGCACTACCAGTGACAAGTATCTGGTTCAAACCAATGGCCTGCTTATCCGCAATGTCCAGGAAAGTGACGAGGGCATCTACACTTGCCGTGCTGCCGTTATTGAGACTGGAGAACTATTGGAACGTACCATTCGCGTAGAGGTATTCATTAAGCCAGAGATCGTGTCGCTGCCCACCAACCTGGAGGCCATCGAGGGGAAACCATTTGCTGCCAACTGCACAGCGAGAGGCAAACCAGTTCCGGAGATCAGTTGGATTCGCGATGCTACACAACTGAACGTGGCCACCGCCGATCGTTTTCAAGTGAATCCACAAACTGGTCTGGTTACCATTAGCTCTGTCAGCCAGGATGATTACGGCACCTATACTTGTTTGGCCAAGAATAAGGCCGGTGTGGTCGATCAGAAGACCAAATTGAATGTCCTGGTTCGTCCGCAGATCTATGAGTTGTACAATGTGACCGGTGCCAGGAACAAGGAAATTGCAATCACCTGCCGTGCTAAGGGACGTCCGGCACCGATTATTACCTTCCGTCGTTGGGGAACCCAGAAGGAGTTCACAACTGGAGAGCAAGATGATGATCCACGCATCCTATTGGATCCCAATTACGATGAGGAACGCGGCGAGAGCAGCGGCACCCTTCGCATAGCCAATGCCGAGCGTACCGACGATGGACTGTATCAGTGTATTGCCCGTAATAAGGGAGCCGATGCCTATAAGACCGGACACATTACCGTTGAATTTGCACCAGATTTTAGTCACATGAAGGATCTGCCACCTGTATTCTCCTGGGAACAGCGAAAGGCAAATCTTAGTTGTCTGGCCATGGGTATCCCGAATGCCACCATTGAATGGCAATGGAATGGAATGAAGGTCAAGGATAGGTTTGATACCAATCTAAAAATCGTCGGAACAGGACCACGTAGCGATTTGATTGTCCATCCAGTCACCAGGAACTACTACTCAGGATACAAGTGCATTGCGACCAATATCCATGGTACCGCCGAACATGATATCCAGCTGAAGGAGGCACGTGTGCCAGATTTTGTTTCCGAAGCAAAGCCCAGCCAATTGACAGCCACCACAATGACCTTCGACATTCGCGGTCCACCCACCGAATTGGGTCTGCCCATATTGGCGTTTAGTGTACAGTACAAGGAGGCCTTGAATCCTGACTGGTCGACGGCCTATAATCGCAGTTGGTCACCAGATTCACCGTACATTGTCGAGGGACTGCGACCACAGACGGAGTACAGTTTCCGTTTTGCCGCACGCAACCAGGTGGGATTGGGCAATTGGGGTGTCAATCAGCAACAGTCAACGCCGCGTCGATCGGCTCCCGAGGAGCCCAAGCCACTGCACTATCCCATCCAGCAAGACCAGGAGGAACCAGTGGTCGCCTCAACCTATTCCGATCACTTTGAGCTGCGCTGGGGTGTGCCCGCTGATAATGGAGAGCCCATTGACAAGTACCAGATCAAATACTGCCCGGTAAGTGGGATCATAATCTTAGAGCTCCCTTTCATTCTGAAACTAATCATCTAATCTTTTTCTCATCTCAGGGCGTTAAGATCAGTGGCACTTGGACGGAATTGGAGAACTCCTGCAACACTGTCGAGGTGGTAGAGACCACATCCTACGAGCTGAGCCAACTGGTGGGCAACACCTATTACCGCATCGAACTGAAGGCGCACAATGCCATCGGCTATTCATCGCCGGCATCCATTATTATGAAGACGACACGAGGTGAGTCCGATTCAGCTAATAACAATCTCGGCACGTTGCTCTATTCGGCCGGATTTAATTCCGGTGTCGGCGCGCTACACAAACGACTGTTCACAACAACAACAACAACAACAGCCACATCGACAACCACAATCACATCGTTAACAACAGCAACAACAACAATCATTACGCTGGCCACCACAATAAGCATAACATTACTTAGTGTCCTAGCCTCAATGTTAGTCTAAAACAAAGATCATAAAAAGAAAAGAAAAGTCGATCGATCGATTAACCGAAAGCAATGGGTTCTATTCAATTCTGCGTTTACGAAATCGTGTATTATTTTTCAAAAAAAAAAAAAAAAAAAAACAGTAAAAGCAGAAATTATTACGTACCCATTGTAATTTTCGGTTTTTCGAACGTTCGATTTTGAGTATCGGAAAATATCGAAACGAATCGTATCGAGTCTACAAGATCCCAGCTAAAAAGAAAAGAAAAACATCAAACATATATACTGAAAAATCTCTATATATATATATATATATACAATCTCTCACACACAGACATCATCTACATGATATCTAGATAAAGACATAATTTTTACTGCTCTATATATATATATATACGAATATGATACATATATCCCAGATATAATCGATTAATTTTGCATACATTTTTGTAGTGTTTATTTCAATTGCGTTTCGACTTTTGTTTCTGTTCACACTCAGTGTAACATCCTCCCCCTCCCCCCCATATGCCCAGTAATGTCCCACATAAAAACCTTAAAACCTTAATACCAAACAACCAACTTTCCCCCGAATTTTAACTTATTTTGCTCAACGTTATAAAACCTATTTTTTATTGTCCTCTGTTTTGAAAACATTTTGTTTTGTTTTGCATGTTTTTGTGCGTGTTCTAGAGCATCTTAACCGTTTTAACTTTCTTTAATTACGATAGCCGCCCCCTGAATATACATATAAAGAATACATTCCAAACGAAAACAGACACCCACCCCACTGAGCCAGGAAAATAATATGGCAAAAGTATTTGCAACGCATTTGACTAAGCATTACAATTCATTATTGAGATCGTATTTGTGCCGGCTCTCGCAGAGACCCAAAGCTCATCAAAATTCGCATTTAAATGCAAAATTCATCACAACACTCTCGTCTCAGTCAGCCACGTTGTACGATATATAGAAATGTGAGGGGAGATGCGCGCGTCCCGAATTGAATTTTTTTAGCTTACTTTACGCTCTTTTTTTTATTACCATTCTTAAGCATTTACTTAATTATAATTACCAAACAATACACTAAAACATTACATATTTTGTGACACGAAATGATAAGAAAAACTCGAAATTTATAATTTTATATTTTTGTGTGTGTGTGTGTCTGAGAATTCATCACAGTTTTTCGATTGTAATAATTATTATTATTAATATGACACGTATGACGAAACAAAAACCATGTTAAATGTAATTCTATCTAGTATTTAAAGAACACAATGAAAAATAATATTTTCTGTTTCGAAATTGGATCACTATCACACCAGAGTTCTTGATTATTATTTTTTCTATCAAATCGATTATTAATTGATTTCATTTTGATTTTGTGTGTATAACTGCGACTACTTCTTTAGTTAAATTTTTGAAATATAAGCGATTAATATAAAAGAAAACGTTTCTCAAATAAAACATTCAAAGAAAACCAAACTGTAATTTACTGCAACTGCTGTCGTACTCTTTTTTATTATCAGTTATGCCTGCGTTGTCTCCTATCTCTTTCTCTTTCTCTGTCTCGCTCAAATCCACTTATTCGCTCTCGCTGTGTTGTCTCTGTCCCTCGATTTGTTGTCCTTTTCTTTTGCTAATTATAAGTACATACATATATGTTGTGCGTAGTATGTGTTTGTGTAAGTAAAAACTTATGTTTATATGTGTGCCGTCTCTCTATCTATCTATCTGTCTCTGTCCCTTTGTGCGTACCGTTATTCCCGAAATTACCCATCCCTGTCGCTTTTGCCTAGACGTAACCTTAAATTTAAACCTTAACCTAACCTCAACTTTAACATTTAACCTTGATCTTTTCGCTAACCAGTGGACTTAGTGTGTGCATCTAATTAGGAATTTAGTCATAGCTATTATTCTAACCAACAACAACAACAACAACCACAACAATACTAAAACTAAAAACACATTCGTGGCCCTTTTGTTAGAGAAACAAACACTCGAAAGCTAACACACACACACACGCAAACACACATTAAAACTCGAAACCGAGCCAAACAACAACAAAACAAACTAACAAACAACCAACTCACACTTTGCACATTGTGTTTGATCCAACGTCGTCGTCTTCTCAGTAACCAAAACCAAAACTAAAAAAAAAAAAACTTAAAATCAAGACCAACCAACAACAACGAAATGTTCTTTTGTGTGTTTCCTTTTCTTCCTTTTTCTTCTACCACTTTTTCTTCCTTGTTTTTTCTCTCTTTTATGGTGTGTGTGTGCTAAAACCACAACAACAACAACTCCTACTACTAAAATCAATTAAAAACGAACTGTTCAAATGCTAAAATGCGTTCAAAAATCGACAAACAATCGAAAAAAAATCGAAAAAAAAAAACCAACAGATAATCCCCACCCCTCGCCGAGTGGCGCTGCTGCACCCCTGGCCACCCAACTGCTTGCCCTTAGCGCTGCTCTGCTGCCGACATTGCTACTGATTTTGCTGCCGACGACGCGCACAGCTTAAACGACCTCAGCTGACGATGCTTCTCCTGCTTCCACCCATCAGCAAGCAGTGCTTGGAGGATCCTTCCGATGGCCGTTATCATGGGTTTTCCTTTCTCTAGTTTTCGTTCGGTGTGTCAATGTGTAAATAATAAGAAACCCTAATGAAAAATTAAAAAAAAAAAAACAACTAATAAAATTAAACATACATCTAACTAGCAAGAAGAAGCGGACATAAATTACGTTAAATGTGCTCAAGTAGAGAATATGATCCATAATTATATCACTTAGGGCGGGTAACGATTTCATTAACTGTACAAAAAAAAAAAAGAAAAAAACAAAATAAGAAAAACGAAAATCTATGATATAGTACCTAGTTCAAGAAACCTAAAGAAGAAAGACGAAAACGGAATGCCAAAACCGAAACACATGCTTAATACAACTGATAAATTGTACTTATATGTATCCTATATCCTATGTCTAACCGCTAGAGACCTTGTTTAACCACTAAGCCAAATGTTATGTTGTTATTTAGTTGTATGTTGTGTATAGCGAGAGCATTTATAGAACACATTCCGATTACGTACACCACCACCCGTTCGTTCCGCTTAGTTCAATGTGAATTTTTAACACACAACACTGCCAAGCGATAAGATGAAGGAAATAAAAAAAATAAAAAAAACCACATAAGTAAACCAAATTTATATATGAGACGTTTTAGCGAAATTCTACAAGAAGAATAAACAAATATCAAGTGGATACACGAGTACAAGAGTTACCCATTTACACTCTATACCTTACACCTAGAGTTAGCCAAAAAGCTTCTTCCAAATACTGTTTCCAAGGCAGTTGCAAGCTACTAGCTGTTTAGTCGAGTCTCTGTTCTGTTTTGAGCGCCGCCTAAACGTTAAAGAGAGGGGACAATAAGTAACTCTAACTAAGTTAAAGCGATTACGAATTTTTCCAACCAAATGTGGGGGCTCACGAATGTTTTAACCTTCTGTTGATGATAGTAAGCGAGCGAGTTTAGTAAGCTAAAACTAAAATGCCACAACTCGATCTAGACGAACCGATATTCCTGTATACACGTTTTTTTTTAGCAAGCGAAATCGATTTTTCTAGCCAAATATATATATCGTAAATTAAAAACAGAAGAAAAAATGAAAATGAAAATGGAAACAAAAAACGGATAAATAAAATTTATACCTTTACAATATCTAGTTATACATACGTATACACATATAGTTAGTGAATAATTCAGCCCGCCTAACGTTGCTGAGAAGAGAGATGGGGAAAGCGATTTTTTTTAAAACGCCCTCGGGCAAGCAGTAGGAATTTTCACTGTTCTCACAGATCACAATTAAAAACAGAATGTCATGAATGTTGTAAGCAAATGAAAATAAAAACAACATGAAAAACGAAATCGTAAACGAAAACTATAAAAAAAAAAAAAAAACGAAACGAAACGAAAAGAAAGCGCCTACCACTTAAGCAGTTCATTTTGGGTAATAAAGAGAAAACTTTAACAGAAACAGAAAGCAGTGCGTGCGTGTGTGACTTGGGACAGGGTTGCCAACTCAGCATTTTGGATGCCGCCAGGTAACAAAACGGATGTGTTTAACGCCCATATATCTATGTATTTATAACCCGTTTAAAATTGCACTGCACACAAACCAATCAAAGACACTAACAGCAGCTGATCAATCAATAAACAATAATTTATATAACCACCAAAAAGCCACCAAATAACCTTATTGTTGATCGTTAATTGTTGATTATTGTTATAGTTTTAAAAACCGAAGCAAAGCACTCTAGGCAAACGAATCCCCCAACCTTCTATATACTCCTACTCCTGCACACATAATGTACATACAAAAAATACACCTCTATAAAACTAAAGGTTAAAAGAGAATTATATTCCTAAGTTGATCTGCGCTTAACACTGCTTGTATACTTTGCATATTGGCCTATTTCTGTATTTTGCAATTTGTAAAGAAAACTAAAACACTCCAACCAACTGCTTCTTTCTCTCACTCACTCACCGTCACTTTCTCAAACTATCTCTCTCTCTCTCTCTCTCTCTGTGCTGAGCGAAAATCCCCTGCCCACTGCTGCATGCTTTATTTGTAAAAAAAACCCCCCCACCCAACTTTTGATATATGGCAAAAAGAAAAAAAGAAAAATTAAAAATCTGAAGACATTAAAAACCAATGGAAATTGATATTGCTAAGTTTGTTGCTTTGTTTGAAAATGCTTTTCATGTTATGAGAATTGGTGCAATTTGAAAATGATTTTGTATTTCCCTGTTATATATTCGGTTGTTATGATTGCTACTACTACTATTATTATTATTATTGTTACTGCTATGATTTTGTTATGTTTAACCTTAGTTTCAACTAATTTCAACCACAAAGAAATATAATACACACACAAAAATGTAAAATACGTTTAAACGATTAACCAGCGAATTAAGAAACCGAGTTTAAAGTGTGTAAGATTAGCTGTTAATTGGAGGAGTTTTCCTAGGCTAGTGAGCCAGGTGCTGGCATTGTACCATCTAGAGTTACTTATAGTTAACAACAACCTCTTTCCCCCCATTCGTTATATATGCTATCTAAATGAGAATTTACTAATCGAATACACTTATTTCCCCCCCATCCACGCCCGCATCCGCCTTCCGTCTGCACCCTCTCTAATTCGCACAAAATAAAAAAAAAAAAAAAAAAAAAAAAATAGGAAAAGATGTCATCCAGGTGGCTGAACGACAGGTGTTCTCCTCGGCGGCCATTGTAGGCATTGCACTCGGCGGCGTTCTCCTGCTCCTGTTCGTAGTGGATCTTCTATGCTGCATCACCGTTCACATGGGCGTCATGGCGTCCATGTGCCGCAAGGCTAAGCGATCGCCCTCCGAAATCGATGACGAGGCAAAGCTGGGCAGGTAAGCATTATCAATTTCTTAATATCCATGTCTTAGCCAGAAATAAATGATATAAACCAAGGCGTATTTGATCTGATAATAAACGATTAATATTTTTAATAATTCTAATACACTTTATTGATATTATAATAGAAGTTTAAAATGTTTTTACTATCTATCTTTCGCTAAATCTAAATTTACATTCAAAGATCAAATTAAACTTGAACTTATCACTTATTTCTTTAATCTTATTTCTTCTATCTACTTAATTTGATTGGAAAACTTTTGGCGCAAGACGTCAAAATGAAACGAATATTGCACTAAAAATCAAAATCGGAATCGAATTTAACGAATTTTTTGGTTTTTGCGTTCTGCTTGTGTTTTTCCCCTACACGCTCCTATTTTGCGATAAAAAGCCGAACTCACAGGCGCGAGGACTTTGAATACAATTGGGTTTATGCGCGGCCCAAGTCCTTGTTGTTCAATCGCAATTCCCTGATATCCGTATGAACGATTCGCCAAGTCCCGAAAGTCCCAGAGACACTCAACAAGATTCAAAATTCGAAATTGTCAACCGTTTTACTTTTCGTTTGCCATTAAATTTTTAGTGCAATATTGAATGTAATTCAAAGACCAAACAAACAAACAGAACAACACAAACCCAGTCATTCAGTCACTAAAAAGTAGTTCACAATTTCACACTCGTTAACAAGAATACACTGAAATTTGCTTCAAAATCATTTCCTTAGTTTGATGGCTAATTGTACAAAATTAATGCGTTATAAGTGTGTGTTAAATTATAAGAAATGTTAAAAGGCAGACCAAATCACACTGCTACAAAAAGTTAAAGTTGAGAATATATAAGAAAATAGTTTTGAATATGAAATATTTGAAAAATATTTCCATGTTCATTAACTATTTTCCCAGAAAGACTCTTTGTTTGGATAAATGTGAAACGAAACAACACACACACCGAAATATTCACACATTGTTTCTGTTTGATCATTGTTGTTACTTACCATACATACATACCAAAACATCAATTACACCATTTTGCTATCTATGTATTCTACTCTCATTTTGATACTAAATCAACCTCATCATGTATTATTCCAATCATCCAATCACCAATCACACCATCCATCAAATCCAACCAAAAACCGAACCACCAAAACAATATCAACCCAAAACCATCTAACTTAGCAGTCTTTACGGTCCGCTACCTTATTGCAGTGGCCAGCTGGTAAAGGAGCCACCACCATCGCCGTTGCCACTGCCGCCGCCCGTCAAACTGGGCGGTTCGCCCATGACATCACCATTGTACGTACCCCTTATTTTCGTCTCCGTCTCCGTTTTCATTTCCGTTTCCGTTTCTGTTTCTAATTCCATTTCCGTTTCCGTTCCGTTTTCTTTTCCGCTTTCCACTTTGATTTTCCTCGCTTACGCTTATCGGCCTGTCTGCTTCCGCGCATACCCTGCATCCCTCTGCATCTTCTTTATAGCGCATTGTCTTTCTGTTTCTGCCTCTCATTCTATAACTTTCATCACCTATAGCTATCCACTTATCAAAAATTACCTCATAAGTCATCTTCAGCTAGCACTGCATGCCATGTAGGAGATTTTTGTTTCCTAGTACTTCAACGGGTATGACACTTTTAAGAACCTTTTGTTCAGGATATGTTCCACTTTTTTTAGCTTTATTTTAAATCTGATTTATTTCCATAAGCAGCCATTAAATTTAGTAACTAGCTTACATTTAGTTTCGAATATTACTAATCAAATAAAGCAGGTAATATATCAATATGTCATACCCTTGCGAAAAGTTATTTTTTTTAAATATTAAAATATATTAAAAGTAGAAAAATTGAGTGTCCTTAAGCAGTGCGCGTGAACTGCTTGGCACAAGTTGCATGCGTAGCAGGCAGCTTTGGCACGGCTGCAATTACAGTTGAGATTTAAATTCAAAATTGCAGCGACATGATTAATAATCAATTTCAATTTTCTATTCACTTTCGCAGGGATGAAAAAGAGCCGCTACGCACGCCCACCGGCAGCATTAAACAAAACTCGACCATCGAGTTCGATGGTCGATTCGTGCACTCACGTAGTGGCGAAATAATTGGTAAAAATTCGGCGGTATAAAGAGGGTTACCAGAGCTCAAGGAACCCGGGAGTCCAACCGCAATGTGCACAAAACAAGAGAGAAGAGGGAAAAATATATATTCTATATATATATATATATATATATTATATAATATGTATGATAATGATCTAGCAAGAACAAGCCAAAGCCAAAGCTGGGGAAAAAACACTTGAATATCGATCGATGATTGGCACACTAATTTGGTTTTAATTTACTTTCTACACAGCGTAAATCTAACTAAATGTCTTACTATAATTAATACATACGATATCTTAAATGCATTTAAAACACATCAAGCACATTAAGCTCGAAAAACCGTTAAGCAAACAAACAAAAGAAAGAATAACTCCATGTCGCTTCATTTTCCTAGTTTAAACCAGTATTTTATATCGCTGCATTTGCTTTGTTTCTCCTTTGTCACAAAAAAAAAACACAAAGCAAGATAACAAAAAATTACAAATAACGATGAACAAAAGCAGGAAGAGTAAATAAAACAGAAGAGATGATAAAGAAAGAACCTAGCCTAAGTTATATAGATATATATATACATATATATAAAATATGTATGCAAGAAAGAAATCTTAAATTAATGCCTTACAAAAAAAAAAAAATTACATTTATTTAGCCGTTAAAGCGAAGAGAGAAGGGATTTATGCATGTAAGCCGCAAGGAATGAGAACGATTTCTTTAGTATAACTAACTTAAACATGCCATAAATAAGTTTTAACATTAAGTTTGCCCCCTATGATCATCATCCCCCCCCCCCACCAATTCGTAGTACTTAAAACGCTGAACAAAAGACTTGTGAGCATTTCTTTCCACGAAACCATGACATTAAAACGGATAGTTTGGAGGGAGGACCACAAAGGAAATGACTTGAAATGATATTGGAATCCTTGGTTTCCTATTGCTAATTCGTATACTTAACCATCAGAAAGTGTAATCCAAAGACGTCACTTAATGAATAATGCTCAATGTACATTTATGTTGAAGAAATTGAAAATGTTTACAAACTGCTTAGCTGCTTGCAAAATGGAAATGAACGGCCCGAAAGGCGTTTTCGCTTCCGTTTCATCCCACACAAGTTCAAACATGCTAAGAAAATTTATATAAAAAAATAACGAAAAGAAAGCACAACTAATCCAAAATAATTGCTAAGTTGTAGAGAAAACACGGAGAACTACGAGATTGCCAAACATTAAAAAATCATTTATCTTTCATCCCACTTCCATCAAACAACTGCAAATCGCTCAGTTTTGTGTTAAAAGTATTTTCTTATGTATGTAAAAATTAAACAAATTGTAGTTAAGAGATCTAAACCGCATTAATCTAACGGATATATAAATCTAAATATATATATGTACATGTATTTAAAGTTATTCGTAAGTTTTTTTTTCTACACGAAACAAATAATACAAAATAAAATTGAAAAACCTAAAATGCGAACTACATATATGTAACCACGCCGATCTGAATGTATCTGTATGTATGTATGTTATAAACCCCATGGAAAGCGCATTTTCATTTCACCCCAGTAAATATCCTCGATCATTCGCCGAGTTCCCCGATTTTTTGTGCTTTGTAGATTCTGTTGCCAGTTAAGTCAAGCGCCTTGTCAGAGCTTTTTACCTATTAATATACATATACAAAAATGATACTAAACGAAACAAAAAAAAAAAAAAAAAAAAGAAAAACTAAAAACCCCTATCGAATAACCCACAAAGCGAACCCAAATCGAGATTACAGGAGGCTATATAAATTTGAATTTGGATGCGATTGTTTACTGCTGGAACTGCTGAAACATATGAAATATGTTTGCAAAACCCGAACGGATCGAACTAAACGATACCTTCGTTCGGCGGCAGTGTAGCTTTTTATATGAACTAAACAAAATTGATGGAAAATTATACATTGAAACTGAAGAGGGGGAAAAATAAATCGTATTTACTGTACTATAATTCCAAACAATGTGGTTTTAATTCCATCTTCATCTGGATCTTCTGCAGATGATAGCCACAAAAAGGCCAGAGCCACTTGTTGGTGCAAGTGTCTCTGAACCCTCTTGTGTACGTCTGAGAGGAATGAGCAATGGGAGCCTTATATATTATGGATTGGAGAAATAAGCACTTGGGAATTTTAAATTTGATTTAGCAGCGACTAGATCCAATCGTAAAGTGGTTGTGAAACTAACTAAATACTTTATTTATTATTATTAATAATTTAAGCATATTAATCAAAGCCGAGTTGTTAGGGTATCATTGTTATTATCGTTTTTATTGGCGTTAAACAGGAGGCACACAAGGGAAGCTTACATTATGCACTTCTTACTGCATATATTTTCAATTTCTATTAAAACATTCTTATAGTTCAGATATAACATAAATCAGAAAATTCGTTAAATGACTTTAAACAGGAGGTACCAAAATGGAACTAAATTGAGGTAAATAACATGCCGTAGCATATATTGGGTTTCTAGGCAACCGCCATTTAGATAGACTAGGTACTATCTTACACAGATATATTACAACTTTGATTTGAGCATTGTACATTTAGTAGTACTTTATAAATTAAACTTTCGCTAATACTCAGGGGTGTCACATAATTCACATATGGTTTATAATCTCTTGTGTTTTAAGAATATATTTGTTTAACTGTGCCATTCAAATATTTTTTTTTGTGCTTTTTAATTTTTTATGATGTAAATGCACATAAACTCTTTAGGAAAATCAAAGTTTCTAAGTATTTTTGCCGATAATAAAATTAAATTTCTGGGCCTTTAGGTTCTATGAGGGGAACATGAAACTCTGAAAGCAGCGATTGCTTCTTAGAGGGGGATCGCAGTGACACCCCAGATAGTTTCAGGAGACGAACACATTAAATAAATTCACTAGGATAATAGCTAGGTAAATAAACATATGTATAAACAGTGGGATCTCGGGTGTTAGACCTCCATACCGCCATCGGATCGCTGGCCCTTCTTTAAGAGGGCCTCCTCAGCATTTAGTTTGGTCTTCTCGGTGCGGGTATGCCAAACAAGGACATCCTTGCATCCGTTTGCCAGCGGTTGCAGCTGATCTCTGGTGGTCAGATGCCTTAGTATCTCGCTCTCCTGATAGCCCCTTTGCACCTCATATGAGAACATGGCTTGCGGATTCCGAATAAAGAGATCCATGCTAATGGCAAAGGCGGCCATGTCGATGGGGAATGGTCTTTCCGGTCGCCATGCAGCATTGAATCCAGTCACGTGGCTACCATCCTCGTTGAGCAGGGGTCGCTCCACCATCAGACCTCCAACCAAGCCTACAGGCCAGACGCCTACGCGACCCCTTTCAATTTTGCTCATCTCTTCGAACAGTTCCGTTGAATAGGAGTTGTCGTCGTCCATGAAAAAACACTTGAATATCGATCGATGATTGGCACACTAATTTGGTTTTAATTTACTTTCTACACAGCGTAAATCTAACTAAATGTCTTACTATAATTAATACATACGATATCTTAAATGCATTTAAAACACATCAAGCACATTAAGCTCGAAAAACCGTTAAGCAAACAAACAAAAGAAAGAATAACTCCATGTCGCTTCATTTTCCTAGTTTAAACCAGTATTTTATATCGCTGCATTTGCTTTGTTTCTCCTTTGTCACAAAAAAAAAACACAAAGCAAGATAACAAAAAATTACAAATAACGATGAACAAAAGCAGGAAGAGTAAATAAAACAGAAGAGATGATAAAGAAAGAACCTAGCCTAAGTTATATAGATATATATATACATATATATAAATATGTATGCAAGAAAGAAATCTTAAATTAATGCCTTACAAAAAAAAAAAAAATTACATTTATTTAGCCGTTAAAGCGAAGAGAGAAGGGATTTATGCATGTAAGCCGCAAGGAATGAGAACGATTTCTTTAGTATAACTAACTTAAACATGCCATAAATAAGTTTTAACATTAAGTTTGCCCCCTATGATCATCATCCCCCCGCCCCCCACCAATTCGTAGTACTTAAAACGCTGAACAAAAGACTTGTGAGCATTTCTTTCCACGAAACCATGACATTAAAACGGATAGTTTGGAGGGAGGACCACAAAGGAAATGACTTGAAATGATATTGGAATCCTTGGTTTCCTATTGCTAATTCGTATACTTAACCATCAGAAAGTGTAATCCAAAGACGTCACTTAATGAATAATGCTCAATGTACATTTATGTTGAAGAAATTGAAAATGTTTACAAACTGCTTAGCTGCTTGCAAAATGGAAATGAACGGCCCGAAAGGCGTTTTCGCTTCCGTTTCATCCCACACAAGTTCAAACATGCTAAGAAAATTTATATAAAAAAATAACGAAAAGAAAGCACAACTAATCCAAAATAATTGCTAAGTTGTAGAGAAAACACGGAGAACTACGAGATTGCCAAACATTAAAAAATCATTTATCTTTCATCCCACTTCCATCAAACAACTGCAAATCGCTCAGTTTTGTGTTAAAAGTATTTTCTTATGTATGTAAAAATTAAACAAATTGTAGTTAAGAGATCTAAACCGCATTAATCTAACGGATATATAAATCTAAATATATATATGTACATGTATTTAAAGTTATTCGTAAGTTTTTTTTCTACACGAAACAAATAATACAAAATAAAATTGAAAAACCTAAAATGCGAACTACATATATGTAACCACGCCGATCTGAATGTATCTGTATGTATGTATGTTATAAACCCCATGGAAAGCGCATTTTCATTTCACCCCAGTAAATATCCTCGATCATTCGCCGAGTTCCCCGATTTTTTGTGCTTTGTAGATTCTGTTGCCAGTTAAGTCAAGCGCCTTGTCAGAGCTTTTTACCTATTAATATACATATACAAAAATGATACTATACGAAACAAAAAAAAAAAAAAAAAAAAAGAAAAACTAAAAACCCCTATCGAATAACCCACAAAGCGAACCCAAATCGAGATTACAGGAGGCTATATAAATTTGAATTTGGATGCGATTGTTTACTGCTGGAACTGCTGAAACATATGAAATATGTTTGCAAAACCCGAACGGATCGAACTAAACGATACCTTCGTTCGGCGGCAGTGTAGCTTTTTATATGAACTAAACAAAATTGATGGAAAATTATACATTGAAACTGAAGAGGGGGAAAAATAAATCGTATTTACTGTACTATAATTCCAAACAATGTGGTTTTAATTCCATCTTCATCTGGATCTTCTGCAGATGATAGCCACAAAAAGGCCAGAGCCACTTGTTGGTGCAAGTGTCTCTGAACCCTCTTGTGTACGTCTGAGAGGAATGAGCAATGGGAGCCTTATATATTATGGATTGGAGAAATAAGCACTTGGGAATTTTAAATTTGATTTAGCAGCGACTAGATCCAATCGTAAAGTGGTTGTGAAACTAACTAAATACTTTATTTATTATTATTAATAATTTAAGCATATTAATCAAAGCCGAGTTGTTAGGGTATCATTGTTATTATCGTTTTTATTGGCGTTAAACAGGAGGCACACAAGGGAAGCTTACATTATGCACTTCTTACTGCATATATTTTCAATTTCTATTAAAACATTCTTATAGTTCAGATATAACATAAATCAGAAAATTCGTTAAATGACTTTAAACAGGAGGTACCAAAATGGAACTAAATTGAGGTAAATAACATGCCGTAGCATATATTGGGTTTCTAGGCAACCGCCATTTAGATAGACTAGGTACTATCTTACACAGATATATTACAACTTTGATTTGAGCATTGTACATTTAGTAGTACTTTATAAATTAAACTTTCGCTAATACTCAGGGGTGTCACATAATTCACATATGGTTTATAATCTCTTGTGTTTTAAGAATATATTTGTTTAACTGTGCCATTCAAATATTTTTTTTTGTGCTTTTTAATTTTTTATGATGTAAATGCACATAAACTCTTTAGGAAAATCAAAGTTTCTAAGTATTTTTGCCGATAATAAAATTAAATTTCTGGGCCTTTAGGTTCTATGAGGGAACATGAAACTCTGAAAGCAGCGATTGCTTCTTAGAGGGGGATCGCAGTGACACCCCAGATAGTTTCAGGAGACGAACACATTAAATAAATTCACTAGGATAATAGCTAGGTAAATAAACATATGTATAAACAGTGGGATCTCGGGTGTTAGACCTCCATACCGCCATCGGATCGCTGGCCCTTCTTTAAGAGGGCCTCCTCAGCATTTAGTTTGGTCTTCTCGGTGCGGGTATGCCAAACAAGGACATCCTTGCATCCGTTTGCCAGCGGTTGCAGCTGATCTCTGGTGGTCAGATGCCTTAGTATCTCGCTCTCCTGATAGCCCCTTTGCACCTCATATGAGAACATGGCTTGCGGATTCCGAATAAAGAGATCCATGCTAATGGCAAAGGCGGCCATGTCGATGGGGAATGGTCTTTCCGGTCGCCATGCAGCATTGAATCCAGTCACGTGGCTACCATCCTCGTTGAGCAGGGGTCGCTCCACCATCAGACCTCCAACCAAGCCTACAGGCCAGACGCCTACGCGACCCCTTTCAATTTTGCTCATCTCTTCGAACAGTTCCGTTGAATAGGAGTTGTCGTCGTCCATGAAGAACACAATGGAATGCCGGTCGACGTCGACGTGGCCTCTCAACCAGGCCAAAGCCAGATTTCTCTGTTCAACGCCGCGTGGCTTTATCCAGTTGGGATCCTTGCCCTTCAACTTAAACTCCGGTGGGGTCTTGATGTTTAGCTGGGTGGAACGCTTTATAAGGCCAGATCTTTCCAGAAGGTTCGTGACCAATGGTGTTGTGGAATTCGTATCCTCAACAATGATCCAGTGCAAGTGAGGCAGCAGCATAAACAGATGTGATAGCCTGATCGAAACACGATTGTTAATAACGAATATTTATAGTAGAATCAATGGGGCACAGATGATACCTGGTTAGCTCAGCTTTTTGGGCAGGACGCGGATATGTGGGAGTTACGGCGTAAATTATAGGTAACGTGTCCGCCTGGACAAACATGGCCTGCAGGTATTCTGGGCCTTGGCAGGTGCGCTTCCCATTCCGGTGTACCATCATCAGCACCACCAGGAAGACGATTATCAGGATGAGGACTTGGCGCGGGCGAATGCGGACCTCCGACATTCTTCGGCAGTATTTAAAGTTTATAAATAACCCAATTTTATTAAAACAAACAAATGGGCAATCAATGTGCCTAAATAAGACCACTCAACGGACTGGTCACACTATTTAGCAACAACGACATAATTATACCCGTTACTCTCGTTTTATGCCTATAATGCCACCATTAAAACTTTAAGAGAATTTAAATTAAATTCCCTTACAGTTACTTTTTAAAAGATATGCTGCCCTTTAAAATTTATTAAATTATACAAAAATTACTAAATTACTAAATGACTACCGTATTCTACAACCGTTTAGCAATTGGAGTATGTCCCGGCTAAATATTGTATTCTTTGAGCCATACAATTCACGCTGAAATCTTTTTTAAAGAAATTTGCAACACTATTGCACTCGTTTTTCGATTTTGGGAAAGTCAATTTTTGACCAAATTTCGCATTTTTGATAAGGGGTACCATCATCAAAATTTTCAAAAATGGGCCATAAATGAAGTTTCCCAGATTTGAATGCAAACCAATTGGGAATCGTGGCAATCAAGTTACGAGCCATACGAGGTATTACATTCCGCATTTGGACCAAAAGTATGTTACGTCATTTAGCAGCAGATATTTAGGTTTCCTTGCCGTTTCTTAGCTCTAACTTTCTTAAAACAAGACCCATGACTACAACAATGACTGTTTTATACTACTTACTACCGAATCTTAAAACCCCTATACTTGCTTTTATCATTAGTGCTCTGATTTTTTGATGCGAGCTCTAATTTAAGGACTGAAAAATCAGGAAACCGATTTTTACAGAAATTTGCAACATTATTTTTGGCTTTTTAGCTCTACCTCGGCCAAAACAAGACGCACAGCCAAAAGAACGACTGTTTTGTGCTGCTAACGACTAACACTAACCACCCCTTTCACTGGTTTTTCGCTTTTGGGAAAGTCAATTTTGGCCCAAATTTCGCATTTTTGATAAGGGGTACCATCATCAACATTTTCAAAAATGGGCCATAAATGAAGTTTCCCAGATTTGAATGCAAACCAATTGGGAATCATGGCAATCAAGTTACGAGCTCTACGCGGTATAACATTCCTCATTTCGGCCATTTTTGGCTTAGCTATGCACAAAAAAATAATTTTTTTGCCCAAAAGTATGTTACGTCTTTTAGCAGCAGAGATTCCGGTTTCCGTGCCGTTTCTTAGCTCTAACTTTCTCAAAACAAGCCCCATGACTACAACAGCTAACTACCGAAACTTAACACCCCTATACTTACCTTTTACGTAATTGTTCTGATTTGTTGTTGCGAAGGCTGATTTAATAGCTAAAAATCCAAGAAACCGATTTTTAATAGAAATTTGCTACTTTTATCGCGGGATTTTAGCTCTAGCTCGGCCAATACAAGACGCACAGCGAAAAGAACGACTGTTTTGTGTTGCTAACGACCAACACTAACCACCCCTATCACTGGTTTTTCGCTTTTGGGAATGTCAATTTTGGCCCAAATTTCGCATTTTTGATAAGGGGTACCATCATCAAAATTTTCAAAAATGGGCCAAAAATGAAGTTTCCCAGATTTGAATGCAAACCAATTGGGAATCATGGCAATCAACTTGGGAGCCCTACGAGGTATTACATTCCTAGTTTGGGCCATTTTTGGCTGTGCTATGGCCAGAAAACTGATTTTTTTTTGTGGCCAAAATAACGTATACGTCTGGTGACACCAGAGAGGCCGGCTTTTTTGTCGTTTCTTAGCTCTAACTTTGTCAAAACAAGCCGCACAGCTAAAACAATGACTGTTTTCCACAGCTAACTACCGAATCTTAAAACCCCTATACTTGCTTTTATCATTATTGCTTTGATTTTTTGATGAGAGCTCTAATTTAAGGACTGAAAAATCAGGAAACCCATTTTTAAAAGAAATTTGCAACTTTTATCGCGGGATTTTAGCTCTAGCTCGGCCAATACAAGACGCACAGCGAAAAGAACGACTGTTTTGTGCTGCTAATGACCAACACTAACCACTCCTATCACTGGTTTTTCGATTTTGGGAAAGTCAATTTTGGCCCAAATTTCGCATTTTTGATAAGGGGTACCATCATCAAAATTTTCAAAAATGGGCCAAAAATGAAGTTTCCCAGATTTGAATGCAAACCAATTGGGAATCATGGCAATCAAGTTACGAGCTCTACGCGGTATAACATTCCTCATTTCGGCCATTTTTGGCTTAGCTATGCCCAAATAAATAATTTTTTTTTGTGCCCAAAAGTATGTTACGTCTTTTAGCAGCAGAGATTCCGGTTTCCGTGCCGTTTCTTAGCTCTAACTTTCTCAAAACAAGCCCCATGACTACAACAGCTAACTACCGAAACTTAACACCCCTATACTTACCTTTTACGTAATTGTTCTGATTTGTTGTTGCGAAGGCTGATTTAATAGCTAAAAATCCAAGAAACCGATTTTTAATAGAAATTTGCAACATTATTTTTGGCTTTTTAGCTCTACCTCGGCCAAAACAAGACGCACAGCCAAAAGAACGACTGTTTTGTGCTGCTAACGACCAACACTAACCACCCCTATCACTGGTTTTTCGATTTTGGGAAAGTCAATTTTGGCCCAAATTTCGCATTTTTGATAAGGGGTACCATCATCAAAATTTTCAAAAATGGGCCAAAAATGAAGTTTCCCAGATTTGAATGCAAACCAATTGGGAATCATGGCAATCAAGTTACGAGCCCTACGAGGTATTACATTCCTAGTTTGGGCCATTTTTGGCTGTGCTATGGCCAGAAAACTGATTTTTTTTGTGCCCAAAATAACGTATACGTCGGGTGACACCAGAGAGGCCGGCTTTTTTGTCTTTTCTTAGCTCTAACTTTGTCAAAACAAGCCGCACAGCTAAAACAATGACTGTTTTTTGCAGCTTACAATCAACACTTTAAGCCCCTATACCCACTTTTTACATTAGTGTACTGCTCTTTTGCTGCGAGTGCTGATTTAATGGCTAAATAATAAAAATTCAGTATTTTTTTTGCGGTTTTTTAGCTCTAACTTTGTCAAAACAAGCCGCACAGCTTAAACAAAGACTGTTTTGTGCAGCTAACTACCGAAGCTTAAAACCCCTATACTTGCTTTTATCATTATTGCTCTGATTTTTTGATGCGAGCTCTAATTTAAGGAGTAAAATATCGGGAATCCCATTTTTAACAGAAATTTGCAACTTTTATCGCGGGTTTTTGGCTCTAGCTCGGCCAAAACAAGACGCACAGCCAAAAGAACGACTGTTTTGTGCTGCTAACGACCAACACTAACCACCCCTATCACTGGTTTTTCGATTTTGGGAAAGTCAATTTTGGCCCAAATTTCGCATTTTTGATAAGGGGTACCATCATCAAAATTTTCAAAAATGGGCCAAAAATGAAGTTTCCCAGATTTGAATGCAAACCAATTGGGAATCATGGCAATCAAGTTACGAGCTCTACGCGGTATAACATTCCTCATTTCGTCCATTTTTGGCTTAGCTATGCCCAAAAAAATGATTTTTTTTGTGCCCAAAAGTATGTTACGTCTTTTAGCAGCAGATATTTCGGTTTCCTTGCCGTTTCTAAGCTCTAATTTTCTTAAAACAAGCCCCATGACTACAACAATGACTGTTTTATACAGCTTACTACCGACTCTTAGCAACCCTATACTTGCTTTTTCATTAGTGCTCTGATTTTTTGATGAGAGCTCTAATTTAAGGACTGAAAAATCATGAATCCCATTTTAACAGAAATTTGCAACTTTTATCGCGGGTTTTTGGCTCTAGCTCGGCCAATACAAGACGCACAGCCAAAAGAACGACTGTTTTGTGTTGCTAACGACCAACACTAACCACTCCTATCACTGGTTTTTCGATTTTGGGAAAGTCAATTTTGGCCCAAATTTCGCATTTTTGATAAGGGGGTACCATCATCAAAATTTTCAAAAATGGGCCAAAAATGAAGTTTCCCAGATTTGAATGCAAACCAATTGGGAATCATGGCAATCAAGTTACGAGCCCTACGAGGTATTACATTCCTAGTTTGGGCCATTTTTGGCTGTGCTATGGCCAGAAAACTGATTTTTTTGTGCCCAAAATAACGTATACGTCGGGTGACACCAGAGAGGCCGGCTTTTTTTGCCTTTTCTTAGCTCTAACTTTGTCAAAACAAGCCGCACAGCTAAAACAATGACTGTTTTTTGCAGCTTACAATCAACACTTTAAGCCCCTATACCCACTTTTTACATTAGTGTACTGCTCTTTTGCTGCGAGTGCTGATTTAATGGCTAAATAATAAAAATTCAGTATTTTTTGCGGTTTTTTAGCTCTAACTTTGTCAAAACAAGCCGCACAGCTTAAACAAAGACTGTTTTGTGCAGCTAACTACCGAAGCTTAAAACCCCTATACTTGCTTTTATCATTTTTTTTCTGATTTTTTGATGCGAGCTCTAATTTAAGGAGTAAAAAATCGGGAAACCCATTTTTAACAGAAATTTGCAACTTTTATCCAGGGTTTTTAGCTCTAGCTCGGCCAAAACAAGACGCACAGCCAAAAGAACGACTGTTTTGTGCTGCTAACGACCAACACTAACTACCCCTGTCACTGGTTTTTCGATTTTGGGAAAGTCAATTTTGGCCCAAATTTCGCATTTTTGATAAGGGGTACCATCATCAAAATTTTCAAAAATGGGCCAAAAATGAAGTTTCCCAGATTTGAATGCAAACCAATTGGGAATCATGGCAATCAAGTTACGAGCCCTACGAGGTATTACATTCCTAGTTTGGGCCATTTTTGGCTGTGCTATGGCCAGAAAACTGATTTTTTTTGTGCCCAAAATAACGTATACGTCGGGTGACACCAGAGAGGCCGGCTTTTTTGCCTTTTCTTAGCTCTAACTTTGTCAAAACAAGCCGCACAGCTAAAACAATGACTGTTTTTTGCAGCTTACAATCAACACTTTAAGCCCCTATACCCACTTTTTACATTAGTGTACTGCTCTTTTGCTGCGAGTGCTGATTTAATGGCTAAATAATAAAAATTCAGTATTTTTTGCGGTTTTTTAGCTCTAAC